ATATGTTTTAGATTTGCATTCTAAATAGTTTGAAACTAATAATTTATCATAATTTGATATAACGAAAATCGCTAATCCATGTTTTAACACATGATTTCTTCTTCTTTCTTCTCTCCATTCCAAAAGTTTTTCATTTTTTTTCATCAGTCTGATGCAAATATATGTTACTTGTGGTGTATGGAGGTTAGATGCTAATAAGCAGTGGAGATTTATTGATGATGAAGTAAAACTTGCAAGATTAGTAATTGTCCAATCCACTACATCTCTTGAAAAGTTGAGGGTGTTGATTTCAAAAGACTATGGAATACAACAAGGTATGCTCGATGTGGAATTCAATTATTTACCCACAGAGCTTAGCTTTTGTTCTCCTCCCGTTGTGTTGATGAATGATAGAGGAATGAAAAAATTTCTTTCTTATTTGAAAACGAGAAATATGATTCGGTTAAGCATGGTGATGCTAATCTTTGTGATGGTGTGAGTTCAAAGTTGATAGATTCATTGGTAAATATTGGGCAATACTTCAAAAGTAAGGAACCTTTACAGACTACTATGGAAATGTATGCGATGAAGTATAACTATGACTATAGAGTTATACGATATAATAAGAGATGGTGCTCTATTTGCTACATAGATAGTGTTCGCAAATGGATTCTTCGTGCGAAGTATTAGAGCAATCTACATATTAAAAAATCAACAGATATGTGGGTAACCATACATGTGCTCCATAAAAAAAGCGCATTCTATAGGACGCCATCTGCGAGAGCAATTGGAAATCTCATTATGCAGCAGTCTAAGGGTGTGAAGGAAGGTCCTAAACCGAATGATATAATTATTATTATCTGTACAGCGTATGGATGCGAACTTACTTATTCGCAAGCTTGGGAATTTATTGAGTATGCTGTTAACGAAGTTAGAGGAATTGCTGAAAAAAGATATGTGGTAAGATACCAAATACTTGCACATGTTAAAAGAAGCGAATCATGGTACGTACATGAACTATGAAATTGATTGCAATGGTAGATTCCAATATCTATTTATTTCTTTTGGTCAATCAATCGCATTTCTATCCAATCGCATTTGTATCCAATTGCATTTGGAATTGCTGATTTTGAGAATATGATTGTTCGTGGGAGTTGTTTTTTATGCAAGTTAAGATGGTTATAGTGGATAAAGAAGGTTTATTTTTTTTTTGTTTCAGATAGACATATGTCCATTGGTAAATCGACTGGAAACATCTACCCATTGGCTAAACATGGTATTTGCATCCACCACTTGATTACTAATGTGATAACATATAATACAGGGAGAAGTGTGGTTGGTATGATTGCAAAAGCGTCTAAAGCTTATAAAGTTGCTGAGTTTGAGAAAAGGTTTAAGCGAATTAATAGTATTAGTCCTTCGATTGGAAGTTAATTAGAGGATGCTGATGTGAGAAAATGGGCTCACTTTCATTTTCCAGGTTATAGATATGATATCAACACCAAAAACGCTGCTGAATCGATGAATGCAGCTTTGAGATCACCTAGAGAGTATCCTATAATTATTTTGTTAGACAACATCAGAGAAATGGTAACACGATGGTAGTTATGCTGATAAGAGGCTTAAGGAGTTGGAGTTCGAGGTGGGAGATGGGGTATATCTCAAGATGGCGATGTTGCATGGTCTTAACAGTTCCCTTAATGAGACTAAGCTGAGTCCGAGGTATATGGGTGCTTTTAGGATTGTGGAGCGAGTTGGACCTTTGGCGTATCGGTTGGCATTGCCCAAGGTTATGCAGGCATTTCACAAGGTTTTCCATGTGTCGCTGCTGAAGAAGTGTCTACATAAGGATGATGAGGTGTTGGCTAAGATTTCGGTAGATCTTCAGCCAAAAATGACTCTAGAGGTGAGGTCGGTGAGGGTTCTCGAGAGGCAAGTTAAGGAACTTCAGCGTAAGAAGATATCTTTGATTAACGTCCAGTAGGACTGTGATGGGGTCCTGGGGGAGTCTTGGGAGCCAAAGGCCAGGATGAAGGCAAGGTTCCGGAAGTGGTTCGATAAGCATATCGAGGTTTAGACCGTTAGTCTTGTATTTTGTTCTCCACATTGGAGTTGAGTTTTTTATTTTTGGTTAACCTCTATCGTATTATGACTTTGGAGCTTTATAAAATGAGTATTTATTGGAGTTGAATTTGTGTGTCATAAGAAAAGAAATATGAGATGAGTTTCTAAAAATAGAAAATGGAAAGTTTCGGGATTGTGGTTAGTATAGCATCGGGATGTTATAGGAGAATTACAGGAGGTATATATAAACTAGAGATATGCTACGGGGCGTTTAGACTTATTTGCTCAGATGATGTGTGGTGGCCTCTGATGACGATCCGAAGCAAGCTTTAGGGTGACGACCAGAGAGTGAGAGTGACTCCCTAGATACCGTAGCTTGAAGGCTGGAGGCCTGATAGTGAACCGGTGTGGCTTGAAGATTGCAATCTGAGAGCGGGGGGAGCAGTGAGACTTCCTGGATACCGAAGTCTGAAGACAGAGGCCTGATGACAAGCCGGTATGATTCATGGGTTGCGACCTGTAAATAGGGTCTGGAACGTGAGTATATTGGTTATATAGAGCCTTCTGATGGGTCTGTTGTAGGAGTGCGGACCGTGGTGACGGGTGCACAGAGTCCTAGACTAATAGACGATGTTGAAGGATTCAGAGACGAATCCATTTTAGTGGGGGAGAATTGTAATGCTCGTGTTTTAAAAGGGATGGTGTCGATCGAACACCAAGTGAGGTTCTCAATCGATACTAACATTTTTCGGTAGGATCGGTTTGATATTTTTTGCAAAATAGATTATTTTGGGTGGGTTTAACCCTAGGTTGCAATTTTAAAAGAGAAAAGTCGACCCATGTTCTCTTTTTAGCCACTTTTGTTGTTTTCTCAAGTCCAAAGAGTTTCTAAGAGAAAAGTGAGGTTTTGGCTGATTCTAGTGAGGATAAAGAGCAAAAAGAGGAGAGATCTCGTAGATGTGGTGTTAGGAGTGCGTGTTGCTACTGGTTGTGTGTTTCGCCCCTGTGTGCCTATTTTTTGTTACTGTTCTTTGTAGATCAAAGGTCAGTGCAGGACGAAGGCTTATCTAAGCAGATCGATACATATTTTGGAGATTTCTATGATTCTTGAATGATTTTGTTTGCTTGTATGTTTGTTTTCTATGATGTGGTGTCTCTGGGCCAAACTTATGGAGTGTCATCTCGGCCATGGAGTGCAAGGAAGAGGAGATCCCTTGATGAGAAGCGACTGGAGCGACGTTAGGACTTCGATGTCGATCGAAACACCAATTTTCTTTCTCGCGAGTGTCGATCGACACTGCTCGTCATTTTGGGTTTTCCTGTTGTTGTTTCATTGATTATTTGATTCCCTGAGTATGCTTCAATGGTGCATGTGTGTATAGCCCAATAGTTGGGATGCAGGTAAAGGAAAAGTTTGACCGGAGTTCTAGGGGCTCGTTAAATTGTTTGGAATAATACTTGAATTGTTTAGGAATTGTTAGTTATGGAATTTAGAAACATGTTAGGGTGTGATTCTATTTCCGCATGAAGACTGGTTTGGTTATGGTTGTTAATGCAATTGAATTATTAGATTGGTTGGTTCAGTCTTCTGCTGGTATTGCTGATTATTGTTGTGTGGATTGGTTTAATTGTGATTATCCAGTTTAAATTGATTTATCCGGTTTAATTGGTTAAAAATGATTTACGCCTTAGCTAGTTTAGCTGGTTTAAAATGATTGAGTTAATCCGTTTTGCATGATAAAAAAAATTTGGGCTGGATTTTTTCACTTTAATTTGATAAATTAAACGATGATTTACCTAAACCGACATTAATTAAATCTTTCTTTCATTCAATTAACAAATCGACAAGCTTAGAAAATCAATCCGGAATTAAACGCAACTCCACCCCAATTCTTATACAATTTCTCAAGTCGTTTATTTTTTTCTAATACACGGACGTTAGCGATTGGCTCAAAATCTTAGTTTATTATTATTTTGGCTATTGACTCAATGTTAATGAAATTCTATTTAAGCGATTGACTCAATCTTGATTAGTTTAGTTTTTGTATTAGGTCAATCCTAATTAACTTTTGTGTTTGCGATGAATTGTTTTGGCACTTATTTTATTTTATTTGTAGCTAGTTATTTTGGCTAGTTATAAGAGGGGGGGGGGGGGTGGAGTTATTGGATCATTGATTTTGATGGATTTGGAAATCCAAAAAAATATCATATGTTATTCAATCATTATTTTTAAAATAACTATCAAAATCATGTGTTATTGGATGTATGATTTATAAATACTAGATTGTGTTATTGGATTTTAATTTAAAACCTCTTTTATCAGTATTAACCTTTGAGCATAACTATAATCATTCAAATTTGAAAAGATAAAAGCTATATAATTAAACACTAAACTAAAAAATTTTAAGCGATATACAACATATATATTGTTGGTGATGGTGTTTTCTTGACAAATAAATGATTTAATATTGTTACATAGTAACAAAGATTACTTGAAAAGATTTGCGAGAAGAGTAAATGGCATCGACGACCAGCTCATGATCCTAATTGAAGATATCATTTACGCTTAGATGTTGATACAAATATAACACCGTTCTATATATAACACGAATTTACCAAGCTTCATATACATCATTAAATGGAAAGATACATATATCATATCATGTTGCTAGAGTAAGTTTAGCAAACTTGCTTTATCCATCAGAAAAATTGCAATGTGGTAAAAGAGAACTCTCGACCAAGTCATGAATGTGTCTATCTTATCTCATTTATAACTAACGGTTAAGTCCGACTTTGACTCTAGTAGTGTGTCTCGAGTTTTAGAAACTCTCTTCATTTCACACGGTAAATGAGATCTCAAATATTTCAAAATTTAGTCATGTACATCCTTAACCTAATGCTGCTCGTTATGGGCCGAGCCCAAACAAAGTCTGCCCCCCCCCCTTTCAGCCCATTTGCAAACCTACCAAAGCCCATGAAGATTGTATTCCAAACTCTTCTGAGGCCCAGGACTGTTTTCTCTTTTATTTTGACAAATTCACGTTTAATGAAGTCAATATTGTCTAAGGTTGGTAGAAGACGCTTTCCTATCACAGTAACGATGGATTTAAATTGGATTCACCATTATCTTTCACGAATCCTGGTTGATAGAGATGTCTGTGAGGTTCTCATTACTTTACCTGAAGCCCCCTTTCCTAATTTTTGCCAAGTTCCCAAGAGTTGTAAGAAGAACGGCATTATGATCCCGGCTCTATGGAGCGGTGATTACCGAAGCTTCATCAACTTTCTATACCCGCTTTCTCTGAATACCAAGCTCAATCATGTGAATTTCAATGGTTTCAAAGATATTTCCCAAACCTCTAAAAGCTGGACGAAGAACGGCATTATGATCCCTCTTTCCATAGAAAAGGGGTTACCGAAGCTTCTCCAAGCTTTTATGTTCGCCTCTATGTTCTCAGAACTCAGTCGAGGGTTAATCTTCCGGGTGTATAATGTAAATCGAGAATATCTTCAAGATGAACCCAAGCCTTTATCCCATGCTTTAAAGCAAACCTCTCCTGGAATGTCTCCGCCTTCCTCTATGGTGGAGCGTTTTATTGAAAGCTCCAATGCGCTATTCGTACGAGCTGTTTGTGACCACGAGCTGGTCTTGGATATCCTGAAGTTTGTCTTCAATGTGGAATCCATCATGGTCTTCATTAGAGTTATTCATTTGGTTGCAAGCTTTTCAAACTTTTGGAGCTTTCCCTCGGATAAATCTTTAAGCCTTTATCTTTATCTCTTTGTTTATGTCTTTTGTATTTCATCAGCTCATGCTTTGTATGAACTCCCCTCTGCTGAGGTTTAAGTGAATGCAATCTTTGTTTGCCCAAGAAAAAAAAAAAAAAAAAAGTCATGTACATTATCGTTTTAAGTTATAGTCATTTATATTCAATCGCTTTTAATTACTAATTCTTTTGTGATCTTCTACGATGCACTTGTTACCTCTCCCCATCTAGTTTATTTCCACCTTCTATTAACTCTCATATAATATATATTGAAGTGTGAGTTGATTTGTAAGACATATCATAACAATTTCTTCCTTAATAATAGTCCATTTTGGGTTAAAAGCATTTGATTCAAATGATGGGATATCAAACTTGTTTTTTTTATTATGTTAGAAAGTTATAGTTCTACTTATTCAAAGTGGAATTTCAAGTGATTTGTAAATAGTTTACAAATCCGGTGTTATTCAATCATGGATTTTAAAAAGTCTCTTGAAATCCAGTGTTATTGAACTAATCATTTTAAAATCCATCTTAAAATCCACTGTTATTGAAAACAATTTGTGGATTTGATTTTAAATGATTTATCTTAAAATCCACTGTTATTGAAAACAATTTGTGGATTTGATTTTAAATGATTTGAGAGGATTTCAGAGGATTTTAAAGAAATTTCTTAGTTAAAAAGTAAAAGAATCCAAATCTCATAGTTTTAGGTGGGATTTGAAAGGATTTTACAAAAATCATATGAAGTTATCTAAAATCATTAAAATCTCAATAAAACTCAAATCACTTACAATGCTACTTTGAATACACCCCCCTAAGTTAACTTTGTTTTTGAGATATGCTACACAAATTACGGGGGGTGTATTCAAAGTAGCATTTTAAGAGATTTGAGTTTTATTGAGATTTTAATGATTTTAGGGAACTTCATATGATTTATGTAAAATCCTTTCAAATCCCACCAAAAACTATGAGATTTGGATTCTTATATTTTTAACTAAGGAAGTTCTCTGAAATCTTCTAAAATCCTCTGAAATCATTTAAAATCAAATCTACAAACTGTTTTCAATAACAGTGGATTTTAAAATGATTAGTTCAATAACACTGGATTTCATGAGACTTTTTGAAATTCATGATTGAATAATACTGGATTTGTAAACTTTTTACAAATCACTTGAAATTCCACTTTGAATACACCCCCCTACATATCACTTTACGGCTTACATATGATATTCTATATATTTTATTGTAAAACTCATGAATAATGTGATAATTAACTATTTATTATTTTAAAATATGGATAATAATGTTTTTTATAGTGTTTATATTTTTAATAGAATTTCACGGCATAAAGTGTGACCTTTCAAATATTTTCATCTTAGAGTATTTTAAATTAAGTTTAGTAATCTTTTGTTTTTAGTCAAAATTTCATAATAAATAAAAATATGTAATATTTTTTTAGAACTTATGTTTCAGTTTATATTTCCTCTTTCAAATTCTAAAATTAAATTACAAACAATTTGTATTATTCTACCATGCATTTAAAATTTACTTAAATTTTAAAACACATTACCACATTTCAAATTCCAAAGTATGATTATTTTAAAGTTTGTTGTTGTTTAGAGTTTGAATCATACTATTATTACTAATAAAATTCTCATAGTATTGGTTTTACTATTTTAAAATTAATTCACTTTACATATTTTTATTGTTAATTATTTATTTATTACCATGAAAAGAAATTCTATGTTAACATTATGTTAAATTCTTTTATCTTTATATTTAATATTTATTAATTATAAATAACATATTATGCACTAAATGAATGTTAGGAAGTGAGGAAGTTGCAGAGAGGATATGCTAAACCTTATTGGACTAAACTGTAACGCCTATATTATCAAAATAAATGTAAAATCACCGAAACTTAGCTGGGGATAAGAAGCAATGGAATGGAGTTTAGAATTTGTTAATATATGTTAGAATTAACTTACGCATTTAAGTACCTTAGGCGTGGAGATTTAAAAAGCAAGAATCTCATGAGCGATTATTAAATCAGAAAGGGACTGAGTTTCTGAATTCTGATAAGCTGAAGTGAAAACGACAGATATCCATAGAAGAAAGAACGTAAGTGAGAGACAACCTAAAGCTATTAACTTATTTGGGTTTAAACTATATTGGGCTAAACAAAGTGTTCCTTTTGATCTCATAGAAAATAAACCCAATTTTATTACTAATAAAATTACTTAATTGGGGATAAGAAGCAATGAAATGGAGTTTAGAATTTGTTAATGTATGTTAGAATTAACTTACGCATTTAAGTACCTTAGGCGAGGAGATTTGAAAAGCAACAATCTCCTGAGCGATTATTAAATCAGAAAGGGACTGAGTTTCTGAATTCTGATAAGCTGAAGTGAAAACTACAGAAATCCATAGAAGAAAGAACGTAAGTGAGAGACAACCTAAACCTATTAACTTATCAATTGGGCTAAACAAAGTGTTCCTTTTGATGTCATAGAAAATAAACCAAATTTGGAAATAAAACAGGCCAAAAGACATTTAAATAATACACAAAATATGGGTTTAGATTATTTGTTGGGCTTGACACAAAAATTAGAAAATGCTGATGTGGACAGCTTTAGAGGGAGAGTTCTTTATATATATAGACTTGTTAAAATCATATCTTATTCGTTTAGTGATTTGTTTTTGGATTTTAAAATTCACAATATGTTTTAAATGGATTTGAAAGTGTAAAATAGAAGGATTCAAATCCAAGGATACAACATGTTATTTCAAAATCTATGTATTTTGATTTCATAAATAATAAGGATTCACAAATTATATGTGGATTTACAAATTAATAAACCAATAACACCCTCTTAGTTTAGCTGTTGAATTATTTTTGTAAGTTGTTATTATTTTTTACTAACGGGTTGTTTGTTATTTACTTACTTTGGCAAGCTGTTTACGTTTGGTATTGTGTCGACAATATATTTTTCACTTTGTAAAGAGTTATAGATTGTTGACATTCTTTGTCACTTTAAATATCATGTTAATTTAAACATGAAAAGATGTTTCAGTTTGTGTTTGCAACAATGTAAGTTTCAGTTTGTGTTCTATATTGTTTATTCTTTGTGTTTATGTAATTTTCTTGTTTATCGATCTTGTATTGTTTGTGTCATGTGTCTGTTCTTGAATCAATGTTCAGTTTGTGTTATGTGTTCTGTTATTTGAACAATGTTCGGGTGTATGAATGAATTTATTCATGTGAAAGATGTAGAAGAAGATAACAAAATGTGCACTTGTGGCAGTCAATCTATGTGTTATGTTTTCTCTTTCAACAACAAACAAGATATTTTCAGTTTTTCATTGAATTTCTTATGCATATGTATATATGTTCACGTGAAAGATGTAGAAGAAAAAACAAAATGTATAAAGTTGGCAGATGATGGTGGTGATCACTGGTGGTTCACGGACAAGAGTCATAGTGGCAGTCACTAGTGGTTCACGGGTCAATTGGTTAACGGACACAACACTACGAGAAGAATTGAAATTACTTTACTCTCTATATATATGTATTATGTGATTTGAACAACACTACGATTCACTCTCTTTAACTCTCTCTTATTTTTCACAACATTTCTTGTGATATTAATAACTCTTTCTTCAACATTTCTTATTTTCACAACTCTTTCTTTTCAAATTTGTAATATTAATATTTTCAGTATTATATCGATCGGTTATTGTCTTAACTTTCTCTTCACACCAACTTCTTATTATCATATTTTCTTATCCCACAAATTTATTATTTTTCTACCAACAACAAGACTTTCTTATTTTTCTACCAAGCCTCAATCCAAAACATTCTACCAAACCACAAAATATTACTTTTATTTGCTATATAGAAAATGGCATCATCTTCTCATGATGAATTTTCGCAACTATGGGATGAAAAATTTGATAATCTTTTCCAAGAAGAATTGGATAATTCTCTGTACTCTTATGAGGATAATCAAAAACCTTAAAACCGAGAAAAAAAAGTCCATATAGAAAAACATCGTGAAAAAAAGACGCATCAAGTTATGTAACAATTATTTTGCAGAAAATGCAACCTTCCCTCCTAATCTATTCCGACATCGTTTTAGAATGAATAAGCCTTCATTCATGCGTATTGTTGATCGACTAACCAATGAAATTCCTTGCTTTCATCAAAGAAGAGATGCGACCGGAAGATACGGGTTCTCTGCACTACGGAAGTGTACATCAGCTATTTGCATGCTTGCATATGGTTGTGCGGCTGATGCGGTTGACGAATACCTCTGGATTGGTGAAACTACTTCCATGAAATGCATGCAACATTTTGTTAAGAGTATATTTTTTTGCTTTGGAGATGAGTACCTAAGAAAACCAACCGCAGAGATCTTCAACGGTTACTCATTATTGGAGAGAATAGAGGATTTCCAGGGATGTTGGAAAGCAGCAATTGTATGCACTGGGAGTGGAAGAATTGCCCCACCGCTTGGAAAGGTCAATACACACGTGGCTCTTGAAAAACAACGATCGTTATAGAGGCTGTAGCTTCGCAAAATCTTTGGATATGGCAAGCGTTTTTTGGACCTCCAAGTACTTTAAATGATATCAATATTCTTCATCACTCTCCTGTTTTTGATGAGATCTTACTAGGACGAGCACCAAAAGTCCAGTATGTAGACAACGAAAACGAGTACAGTTTGGGTTACTATCTCACATATGGAATTTATCCTAAATGGGCTTTATTTATCCAATCGATCCCACTTCCACAAGGTGAGAAAGCATCTTTATTTGCAATCCATCAAAAATCTTGTCGTAAAGCGTGCTTTTGGAGTTTTGCAAGCTCGATTTGCCATTTTCAAAAATCCGGCTCTTATTTGGGATAAGGAAAAAATAGGAAATATTATGTGGGCATGTATAATACTTCACAATATGAAAGTAGAAGATGAACGAGATATGTATACTCAATTTGATGTCACCTAATTCCAACAAGCGGAAATTGCTGGAAGTACACAAGTGGATTTCACGTATTCTATAGAAATGCCTTTAAAACTTGTCGATATGATGGCCACTAGAACTCGACTTCGTGATCGAGCTATACATCAACAATTGAAGAAGGATTTGGTCGAGCATATATGGAGAAACTTTTCTCGCAATCAATTTTAAAACTATTGTACTTTATGTTATAATTT